TGCATCATCTATAGATTCCAGAGCTGGTGAGTAACTGGCATGGGCCAGGACTTAGATCCCACTGGTCTATTACTCTCCTGCATCATCTATAGATTGCTTAATGTGCTGAATATTTGGTAGCAAAATAATAGGTAGTCGATCTCATCAAAAAACACTTGCTGTGTAAGAGCATAATTGGAATTAACAGACTTGAGTCTTTTTGGTCACTACAGATTAAAAATCCTGGAGATGGACAAGTCGCTCCTTTGACAGTTTACTCATACTGTGAGCAGATAAGTGCTCAGGAGTTTGATGAACAGAAGGTTTCTACCTCCCAAGCTGCAATTGCAGAGCTCTTAGAGACTATTATTAAAAACAAGAATTTACCTCTAAAGGAGAAAAGAAAAAAACTAAAACAGGTAAAAGAATTAACAAGTTTTCAATCATGTAAATAGTTTCTAAAACACTGTTCCTGGTTGTTTCGCATACATTAAACTGCTTCAAAATACTTGAGTATCTGCCTGATTTTACTCATTTTCCTGAATTTTAAAATAACAATAATAATAGTAATAGATACTCATCATTACTACTGCTGTTTTGTATAATTATAGCATAGATTAGCCTGGGAAAGCAATTATAAAATTGGATTATAAGATATATGTTTGACTCAACACCATCCTTGAGAATTTTTAGCTCTAAAAGCCCAGCTGACTTGAAATTCTAGCAGGTCCGATTCCAAGTCTAGGACACTCAATATAAATTATACTACGTTCTTGCAACCTTCATAGACTTTACCAATGGGAAAGAAGTTGATCCAGAAGTGAGGGGCAGAATTAGCAACCAAAGAGACTCCGGGGATGTTCAGGCCAACTGGGATCTGAGCGATTTTTGAGCATACTTTTGACGTAAGGAAAAAGAGACGGAGAGGCAAGGATAGAATTAAAGCATTCTCGTTTCTATAGTACTTCTTTGACAGGGCATTGAATTCTAATAAAAGGTTAAGCACTGGCTTCAGCTGGGGAAATAATTTTGAATACTCTCTAATTCCTTGCCTCATTTTTCAGTTTCAGAAGGAATATCCCTTGATATACCAGAAAAGATTTCCAACTACGGAGAGCGAAGCAGCACTTTTTGGTGACAAGCCTACAATCAAGCAGCCAATGTTGAACTTAAGGAAGCCAAAGTTCCGGAGTCTGAGATACTAGTGGAGTTAAAGCCCACTCGTGGGGCTCTCGCAAATGGAGCCACGTCTGAGAATCCAGCTACTAGCGGGAAGTCCCTTACTAGCAGGGCTTTCCACATAAACACGTCGTCGTCTAGGGAGGTGCCAAAGCAGTTGATCAATGTGAGGTTGCTCAGAAGCTGCTGGACCCTGACTGACTGCACACGGCAGCGGGTGATGCCAGATGCTTCAACGGGACACCATCTTCTGTTTTTAATAGAGCCATAAGGAAAAGTTATCATGATGTGTAGTAAAATTGTATTTACTTGAATTTTGAAAACTGAGCTGTAGCCATCAAGATTAAACTGTAATTCTCTTTTTAAAGGAAGACTTTACCTATATACGTGCAAGTCCACAGATAATCAGCAGGGACCAGCTGTTCAGGGTCACCTCTTAGTTTCCAAGTGTAAGGATGTGAAGAACACAAGAAAGCCCAGTGAGTTAATTCTCACCTGCTAAATATCACACTCCTTTGCATGTTTTCTGTCTGCTTTTGATCTATTTATATATGCCTGTATTTTTAAAATGTATGTATATTATAAGATTTTGGTTTTGCCTTAAACATCTTGGCTGTTTCAGTCATTTGTTCAATACATTTTGAATTCTTATTTTCATAATCGACTAGAAGGTGGTGATTTAAAAAGGATAAGGCAATCATGTGTTCACTTAAAGGTATTTATTTAGCACCTCCTGTGTGCCTTTCATTGTTTCAGATATGTGGAGACAATGATGAATAAAACAAAATATCTTATTTATTTTCAAATCAAGGGGGATACATCTATCAGATGCTTAAAATAACAATCTACTCACTAAAGTTGAGACCCAGGAATCCTTCAGCTGAAGGCTTACTTCTGTGATTATGGCCTCCTCCTCTATAGGCTGGCCGTTTTTAACTGTTAGACATTAGAATCACCTGAGGAGTTTTAAACAGGCTCGCTGCCCACGGACTACCTTTTCTGATATGGATTCCATAAGTGTAAAGAAATATATAATGTCTGCAAAGTAACAGACTCTTAATATTTAATGACTATTCTGATTTTTAAATGTAATTTTATAGTATCAGTTTATATAATGATGATATTCCATTTAATCTTATTATTTTTTGTAAACTTGGACAAAAAGTTTCGGCCCAGAAACCCTGACTATAAAATTATTAGGCTAAATTAGTATCTTTCTAAGGTGTTTGTATGCAAAAACTTTTCCTGTTTGAAGGTATGTGATAATGTGAATTGTATTACAAGTTGAGATAAAAAAATATTGCAGGTTTGTAACAATTTTTGTATTTATTGAGATTAAATGTATAAATATTATAAAGACAGTAAACTTTCATTTTCACTAGTGTGCATGCGATTGAGATTACAAAATACTTGGTTTAACACTTGAACAACATGAACTCTGAGTCAGGTTTGCAACCTCCTGTGCTCTTCACCAGTCAGTGACCTCAGATCCGTCAGCTTCTCAAAGCCCCTGTTTTCTTACTCATAGAATAAAGATTACAGTAGTACCCCTCTTTTAGGACTGTGGTGAGGGTTAAGTATGATGATGCATGGGAAACTTCCATTCAGCACAGGGTCTAGCATAGAATGAGCGCTCTAAATATTAGCTCTTGTTACTGGAATCTTAGCAAAAATGTAGTTCTCTCAATTGCTTTGAACACATGAACCAAAACCAATTATGAAGAATTGATGAAGCTTAGTAAGCTGGTTTTAGTTATGAGGCAAAGGTTCTTACTATACATGGTGGTTGAATTGTGATCTCGTAGCGAGGGAAACTTCGATGAGGAAGGAAGAGTGGGCATCTTCAGAAGTGATGTGCACATGGGGTCCGGTGTGGGGAAGGGGGGCTGAGCCCAGGCTGGGCGGGGACGGGGGGCTGAGCCCAGGCTGGGCGGGGACGGAGTGCTTCTAACAGAAAGGAAAGCAGAGTATCTAAGTCCACATGCAGATGGTTGGACGGGTAGAAATTACTCTGATTGCTTCTGCTCTCTCAGGACATAAGGATCAAATTCAACTGCGGAGAGACAAGGGCATTGGAAGGAGATGGATTTAGAGAGAGGATGGGAAACAGTCTGGCCAACTGGGGAGGCCCAGGCTCCACAAGATTGGATGACGCCTGGTTAGCTAAAAATAATAATTCTCTTCATAGAAATTATTTACTATCCCCAGTATTTAGTGCTAATTGGAGAAAAAGAGATGAGCCTTACAATTACACCACATTATTGCCTGAAGCCAGTTTGCAGGTAAAGGAACCAAAACAAAGCCCAGTGGTCTCAGGGCATTCAGAAACCAGGGTGACCAGGGTGGACAAGGGAAGTTCCAAACAGAGAATAGAAACAAACTCGGAGGTTTTCCAAGATCTCCTGCAGGTCTTTGCTGAGAATTAATTGGCATGGTACAAAAGTAATGAGTAGTAATGAATGAGACCAAGAGAAGAATGACTGGGAATCTGTCAGCCACAGGTCCCTGGACCCGCACAGCCGGGAATAATTCACATCCCCCAGCTGGAACAGAGAGACCTTGTGACCTGGGACACTGGGTGGCATCCTCCAAAGAGCAGTGCTTTACTAGCAGGCAAAATTAGTTCTAGAACAAACATCTTAAAGGCAAACCTTAAAATGTTCAAATTATTCTTTGAATAACGTACTGTATGCCAAAAGTTTTGCATTCAAAAAATAAACTCCAGCATCCAGCAATGTAAAAACCAGTGTTGAGCATCCAGTTAGAAATTACCATGAAAGGAAAAATCTGACCCACGGGGGGGGAATAAATCAATAGAGATAATGGAACAAAAAGACAGCTTTTAAAAGAGTTATAGGGGCTGTGCCTGTGGCTCAAAGGAGTAGGGCGCTGGCCCCATATACCGGAGGTGGTGGGTTCAAACCCAGCCCCAGCCAAAAACTGCAAAAAATAATAATTATAAAATAATAAAAAAGTTATAGATTATTATAAATATACTCCAGGATAGAAAGGAAATCAGGAATGTAGTAATCATGCAGAAATGGGGGATATTAATAAAAGATCCAAACAAATTCAAGAGATTAAAAATACAGTATCCAAAGTGAAAAAAATAATTAAAAAATTAAGCTTATAAGCAAATCAGATACAACAGAAGAAAAGATCCGTGAATTTGGGAACAGCAAGAAAAACTAGACAAAGTACAGAAAAAAACAAAAAATTAACAGAGCCTCATCTGTGTAAAAATCTGAAGCTGAATAACGTGCAATTGGGCAGTTGGAGGCTGAAACGAGGGAGGACACTGAATTATTGACTAGAATAATAGCAGATTCTCCAGGTGTGGCCAAGAGCGCAAACACAGAAGCTGGAGTAACCTCAAGCAGAAGAAATACAAAAGCACACAAGGCATGCAAAATCAAGTTGCTGAAAAGTAGGGAGAAAAATCGTAAAAAGCAGCCAGAGGAAAAAACATACAAAAGAAAAGAATGAAGGCAGATCTAGAAAACCACCAGAAAGAATCCTGGAGATTCTTGTGGCTGGGAGCTGGAGCTGTCTTCCCAGGACTGTGCCAGTTGTAACTGCCTTAGGTGGGGTGCCTCACACCACTGAGAGGAGGGTTGTGTTTAGAAGATGGGCTTGGGGGCAACACTGGAAGGGGGTGGTGAAGGTGGGGTGGGGCAGAGCAAGAATTTGAGCTGCAGTGCAGCTGTGGGAGAGGACTCCCCTGATCCCCCCGGCTCCAGAGCAGGGACAAGATTTCAGGATGGTCCCAATTAAGGAACGGGGCTGGTTTTTATATCTTCATGTGAGCCAGTCTCCAGGTGTGGGCTGATCCTGGGGAGTAGATATAATCTTGGGGAAGGCCAATCACCATCCCTAGAGAGGAGTGCAGCCAACATTCAAAGCTGAGCAGGGATCTGTGGGAACACCCCTTACCACAACACCCCTAGCAGGAAAAGGAACGTTTCACGTTAATATGCGAGAGACAGAGGAATGACAACAATAGTTTTGGTTATCTTTTAGCTAAGTACTTGTTGATTAGTTCTTATTTAAAAGTAATATTTATTAATTATAGATGTTTTATAAATGAAAAAAGTTTAAATCTATGATCTTAACATCCAGGTACAACCCAATGCAAATCTTAGAGTATTCAGTCTCCAGAACTTTGACTCTGAACTACTCAAGAAAAAGTAGCTCTCCTTTTGTCTTCTGAGCTTATATGATTAGCTAGGGTTAAGAACAGCAATAACTTACCTCAAAAATTCATATAACACAAAAACTTCAGAGATAAAAGCCCTGCCTGCTGGTCACAACTGCACAGCCACCAGCTTCTGTACTCAGGTGTCTTCATCAGCTTTCAGATTTATAGCCTGGAAATTCCTAAGGCCCCATCAGTCTTCAGACCTCAGCAGTCTTGATCTGTCTTCTGACTCCTGAGTGGTCTGGTTTGTCAGACAACTTAAGCAAAGACACCAAGTCTCTTCATTTTCCCAGCGTGAACTGACAGTCATGAGTCTCAACCCTCAGAACTACCTTCCACTGCTGGAGTTCTGATCTCACTCACTGCTCAGCAAGGTGCAAATTAGATGTCAATATCAAATATAAGTTGGAAGAAATCACACAATTTATAAATCGCTTGAATGTTGGTTGAAATTTAACTCTGGGAATCGGTTATGGACAGTTGCTGAAGTAATTATTTTTTAAGAACGCTGCTGAAGTTGGATTTTAGAGACTCGCGGGCAGCAGTGCCCTCTGCAGGCCTCCCCGACGAAGCTCTTTTTAGCCTCTGGAGGATTTGACTCTACTAAATATTTACAGCTTTGTAATGTGAAATACAGTGATATTAATCACACATTTTAAAAGGGCTAATTTGCAGGTAGAGATTCCTACTAGGAATCTTTTAACTACTAAGCTCCTATCAACTGTCATATCCATATTTATAATAAAAATATTAAACATAACATACAGGATCCAGAATATACATGAAATGAACATAGATATTGGGAACTGAGTCCTAATCGTGGCTCCATAACTGTACAGCTGTGAGAGACGTTACAGATTTTAGTACTCTCTGTGGGATGCAGTCTTCTCAAAGTGGGGACTGGCACTTTCCTGATGACCTGAGCACTCCA